CAGGTGTATACGTATAGGAGAAAACATAGTACATGCAGTTGACCCTTAAACAATGCAGTTAGGGATGCTCACAGTCCACACAGTTGAAAATCCACATATAACTTTGACTGCCCCTCAAAAATCTTAACTACTAATAGCCTACTATTAGTCAGAAACCTAACTGGGCCTTAAATACATGTTTGAAAAGTTAATACATATTTCATATGTTACATGTACTATTACTGTATATAAAAATCTGTGTATAAGTGGACCCACACAGTTCAAACCCATGTTGTTCAAAGGTAAACTCTATAGGGTTCAGTACTATCCTTGACTTCAGGGATCCTCTGGGGGTCGTAGAACATATACACCCAGGGATAAGAGGGGATACTATACTTCTATTAATTCCCTTAATTCCTGATACTCTCTCAACTTTCTTCTGACTGGTCCTTTAGGTAAACTTGATCATGACCCCTCCACAGCCTTCAACTGGGGTTCTTTAACCATGAGTTAAAACCATGAAGATTAGTAATTTCATCTATCCTTGAAGTGCTTCAGAAATAACAAACTCGGAAGGCCTCCCTTGGGACCCCCTACCAGTGTTTTTTGACTACAATAAATATGTCCTTATTTTTGTCCAACCAAACTCTTGCTCATCTTTAAATTCTACTTCCTCTTTGATTTTACGCAAAGAGACACAGATAAGAGGTTAACTTCTTCCTCACAAAAATCATGCATCTACTTTAAGACTAGTATTAAAATTACATTCTTCCTTCTTCAGAGTACATATCTATGATTCCTTCAACACTGTTTATTACTTAATATTGTATTTCATGTTCTCAAACTGCTCATTTTTCTTTATTTTTTAATAATGTAACCCAAACAGAATACCAACAAACAGACAACTTACAAATAAATATAAAGGTGGTGAAAAGATAATATCCTTTGAAAAAACAGACCAGCCAACTATATTACATTCCCACTATGACAGAGGACAATAGAAAAAATTACAATCTCAAACTTTCAGAAGTTAATTCCCTAGCAGTGAATTTGTTACTTCCTCAGGAACCAGAAGACCCCAATCTTCATAGCCACGGAGCCTTTACCCTGGGTAAGAAAAGGATTCCCTGACCCCCTAAAAAAACATCTTCTTACTATGAATTCATTGTAATTCTCTCTCCTATGACAGACAGGTGGCCTTCATGGGGTCTTAAACTTCTTAGCTATCATCTCAGTTCTACTAGAGCTCACTGCTGCTAAATAATTATGCAACTGTTGAAACTACTTACTATAACCTTTTATTTCCTTTAAAGTCAACGTATCATTTTCATGAGCTGTAGACAGAACAAAGTTGAGAAAAGATTAAGCTGGAAAGCAAAGAGAACTCTATTTTTTTAAAAAACTAAATAGTTTTTCCATGTGAGCAAAATATTTGCCTTCAAGATAACTGAGAGACATAGTGAACTATAGAATAAGAAGACTTTTGTCAAGTTAAATCAAAAAACAAGACCAAAATACAGAAAATAAAGCTAATGGGCAGAGAGAAGATAAAAGACAAGAATATTTTAAATGGAGATAGACTGCAGGATGCAGAAACAGGGATTGTAATAAAAGGAACAGGAAAACAGAACTCTCTCCTCAAAAAAGCTCAAGAGTAATGGATGCAAATTTAATCTCATTTTGTGTTTCCTTTTTAAGAAAGCAATAATATGGCTGTTTAAAATTAGTTCAAGGAACAAAGGAAAAAGGATTTCAGATGATCAGTGTACATGGGAAGTTATCAAAGGTTAAGAATTTTTATGACAAAGCTTCTAGAAAATGAAGAATTGAGTCAGGAATAAATAGCCATATTAAAATACCTGTATTTCAAAACAATATTCTTCAAGTTTAGGCTTGCCTCTCCAGTAATAGACTGAACAGGAAGCTATACCAAAAAATACAGGAAAGATGGTGCTGTACAAGCTACCTCTACCTCTTGAACTTGTCTAGGTCATGGCAGCAGCTAACAAAATCCTAGGGGGGTTAAAATCCACCCCATACCCAAGATCAAAAACTACTCCCACCCCACCTTGGCTCAATGGTTTTCTCCCACTGTGGTGAGGGTGGTTTTGCAAAAGCTCCTCAAATGCCAGGAAACACTGTAATACAAAAAGAAAAAACAATTCATAAGTACCCAAACTTAACTAACATTCTGGCGTCCCTCTCAAGGCCGATTGGTATGGTGGAAAAAGCACTAGCCTAGGAACCAAGAAGCCAAGTGTATTCTGTTCAGCATCATTCTGAGATGTTTGCTATATTCCAGGTGACTCATGAGAAAGGGCACCAAACTCTTTTCGAAGGTTATTAAACTCGTAGAATATAAGCCAGAAGCTGCTGATGGCCATCTCTGCCACTAACTGAGCTGAAAATGAAGCCATCAGAGAACCCAGCAGAACTAAAAAAAATGTAAAGAGATATTCCTGGTGACATAATTTAAGAAGCTGGCTCCAGTTTTCCCTGCAGTATTTTCACTTAAATTGGTCTTTAATGGGTTTCTGTAACTTGCAGGGAAGTTTGGTCAGTACACTTGGGTTCTAATTCCCCACTGAACATGAACTCAAGTCACTCCTTATTGGCGTTACTTTCCTGTTCTATAAAATGGGCTAGATTTGAGGTTTTTCAGTAACTTTTAAACAACAGAACTTTTTTTTAACAAAAATCTTATTCTGATACCAAAAAATAAAGTTCATATAAATGTACTTTATAAAATCAGATTTATATTTACTTCTGACCAAAAGCAATAAAAACAATGGATATTTAAATCTCACCTTGAGACTGAAAATAAAAATGACTATTAGTTAAATGTACTTTATAAGATCAAATGTATGATATTTATATTACGACCAAAATCAATAAGAACAATGATGTGTTTTGATAAAAACAAAATTTCAAAACTGGTGACTAATGGTAAAAGTTGAAAGCTTTATCTCTCAGAATTCAATTTATTTCTGCATTTTGTTTTGACTGCATATTAGTAAGCCAATCTTCATTCAAGAATAGTTGCAAAGAGTAACATATTTTCCGCATCTGCCTTACCCATTGATACTATTTAATTAAAGGTGGAGAAAGCTTTGTTCTATACAAAAGAAAACCTGACAGCACAAGTTTTTTTAAATAGGCCTCAAACTAGTTAAAATTTAGAATATAATATAGTTAAGTATTCATGTGTGTTGCTTATTTTAATGATTTAAACCTCATTAAATCAAAATTAAATCTGAACCTAATGTTTACAGAATCCAATTAGTGCCTTCATACAACTCTAATAAAAACAGGTAATTCCTAAACTCTTTTAAGATCATTTCCAGATTCGTGTACACTCGCTGCACACAGGATATTATAATGAAGCAAATGTAAAGTTATAATTCCTTTTTTCATAATAAGCCTGCTTTAAAGGAAAGAAAAATTTCACCAATTCCTATTGGAGAGTTATAAACATAACAAGAAATTATGTCAAATAAGAAGGCTATTACAATAATCTTTCAATTTTAATGAGAACCAACTTGATGGGGCAGATCATAGAAGATGCTATAAAAATTTATTATTTAAGAGTTTCCTGCTTTGCAATAGAAATGATTAACTCTCCATCTCTAATCTCAAGAAGTTAACCATCTAGTAGAGGATACAATACATTCATCTACTCAACAAAAGCGTCTCCTCAGCACCACCAGCCACTATGCAACTGGAACCAAAAGGTGAGTAATATACACATGATCCCTACCCCTGTAAGTTTAGAGACTTTAACCTGAGGGCAGTAGATAACCAGTGAAGATTTTAAACAAAGAGAACATACCATTAGGTCAACATTTCTGAAAGATCACTGACTATGTGAAAGTTACTATAAATTGAAAGTAGTAAGCTCAAGGGGAGAGACCAGTTAAGAGCTGCTACAATGATCACAAAATAACAGGACCAAAAGAGGGAACAAACAAAGCTTCAGAGAAGTAACATTGCAGTTCAATCTTAAAAGACAAAGAGTAAATCAGACAAGTAGAGGACAGGAGCTTGTGCAATAAGAGAGACCACAAGAAAGGTATGTTTGGGAAACTTCAAATAGTTCCTCACAGTGGGTCTTGAATGAAGTGAGTCACAGCTAGGAAGTCAAATCAAGGTAAAGGATATTCTGTAACAAAGACACATCTCTAGGACATCTAAGAAATACTTTAAAGCAGGGTGATAATATGACCAGGCTTACATTTTAGATTCTTCCAGGGACAGCTGGCCTAAAGAAGAGGACAAGAAGTCTAACCATCCAACCAAGAACACAAGAACACACCCTTGCCAACAGGTACACTGTCTTAAAGACTTAGTCTAATAATTTATCATGACAACCAAATATGGTCCAAGCAGTACTCTGGGCTTTATAAACCAAGTAACTAGTACCAAACTCAAGCCACACTACAGTCGACAATGGCTACTGAAACAAAAAAGGGCTCTGCAGATAAAATACTAAAAATGTAAAGGTGGCATGAGAAATACAGGAGAGGAAAAAAGCAGCAACTAAGAAAACGGGGAACTAACAGAAACAATTTTACTTCAGGGTAAAAATTACTTCCAATTGTTGTCAGTTACACATAGATCCACCTCTGTAATTAACAAATTGTGGCTCCTGTCAATCAGTTCAAGACCCAAATGTAATTTAATACACAACACTAAAAAAAATAACCAAACAAAAACTAGATTAGAAACAGCAGAAGTATAACAGAAGACAAGCTCTATAACAACTAGTTTCCCACTACTTAAAAAAAAACACTCTCCCTGAATGGCTGGCCCTTGAAGCATATCCAACTAAAATGGTGGTGGGGTGGGGTGGGGTGGGGTAGGATGAGGGAAGACTTGCTATTTCATAAAGGTTTCTAATTAATAAACTACAGAAGTTCTTGAATGTTCTCATTCCAATTATTTTTCTTATATAACTCAGATTCAAAACTAATAAAAATACAATGAAGAATCCAATTATTTTATCTTAAGAAAATGAATCCTACCTTTCCAGGGTCATCCTTGGATCGAGGCACTTTAAGGAAACACTTGTTCAGTGACAGATTATGTCGTATGGAATTCTGAAATTAAAAAAGAAAGGCCATAGGGTCATTGGGATCCAAAAAACTAAACCCACCTTAAAAACACAATCAGAAACCTAAATATGCCTATGCATTGGAATACAATTTCAAACAGAATAAGTTTTTAAAATGAGCTCTAAATTTAAACCTTCCTGATTTTCAAATTATGAATATTGCAAAGGGAAACAAAAGTTTCTAGTGGATTGTATAAAACTCCAAATAATGGAATATGTGTCCCATTTTAAATGTTTATTAAGGCCTTTTAATGATGCATGAAGATCCTATAATTAATATTAAATATTAAATGCCAAATACAAAATTATATATGTATGACTTTAATTGTGACATTCTTCCATCTGTCCATTCATTCATTCATTCATTCATTCATGGAAACAAGCCAGAATGTCAAATGCCTAAGAGTTATTCTACATGGAATTACAGGTGATTATTTTTCTCTTCTTTTCTGCAACATTAAAATGATCTACAAGGCACATGTATCACCACTTTCGAATGGGTTAAAATTTTAAACAACAAAAAAAAATTCCATTGTTCACTACAAGAGCATATAGAAACCAGTTAGGTTCTCACTACAACCTATAAAAAAGAAAACCACATGGGAAGACACTGACTACAGAGGGTTAGCAAGAACAGCTAGCTAGGTCCCTCAATGTATCAGGAAAGAATAACCAACTTAGATCATAGGAACATGCACTTTGAGACCTGGAGAATCCGTGAAACAGGAAAATCTTTTGATGAGTAAGTAGGACTGTGCCACAAATTTTACAGAAAATAGCCAAAGAACATTTCTTCTTAATGAAATGCTTCAAAATCTATTCCATAATTGTTTGTTCCAAAATGGCCAGGTATTTGATGGAGAGTGACCCCAACTGCATGGTGCCACTACCTAGATTTTTGGTGGGCATAGGGAAGGTGGTCATTTTTTTTGGCATAATGTCTATTTTATTTTTAAATACAAAATTCAGAACTCTAACAACAATGCCTATATTAAAACTTCCTCTCATGAAGCAATATTGGGATTAGAGAAGTTTTTAAAAGATGACCAAAGAATATAAATTCAAGCCTATCTAATTACCAAATACCCATTTAAAACTTATGAACAGGAGTTCCACCTCTGCTTGGGATGTAAACAATTATAAAGAATGATGATCCCTTTTAAATAATGAGAAGACAAGGAGTGAACCCCAAAAAAATCATACCTATTTTTGAGCTGCATCAGAACTGAGGTTGCAAGGCAGCCTCTTAGGAAATTAAATTCCGAAGAGGAACAAGCCTATTCAAGAAAAAAGGGGATAACTGCCTCACCTTTTGGCAGAGTATGGCAGAATGAGGTAGCTATCATTCAAGCATCCAAGAAATTAGCCAAAATGGAAAGGCCAACCATGGGCTAGTGTGTCAGTTTAAAATAACAAGGGCCCCAGACGTAAATAAGAAAAGTCACTCACTCTTGAGCTCTTCTCCATGAGTCTTTACTGTAAAATCACAAGAAAGATTGGGGATAGGAAAGGAGACCAAAGAAAGTCTCCTCTGTGGCACAGGCAGGAAGGAGGTAACTGACAAAGGCCTACCACCTTCTATAGACAAAACAAATCATTTTAAGTTTGAGGTAGGAGTAGCAAAACCTCTCATCCACAGGTCTCTGGCAAAGAATGCTTTTGTGGGAAGAATGTAAACAAAACCCTTCTTTTGCCTCTCAGCAGAATACAGGTAAAAATTGACTGCTGATGAGGGAAGAGTAGAAGCAAAATCCTTTCACTCTGGGACAAGTATCCAGAAGTACCTTGGGCTCAGGATCTTACACCAATAGACCATGCTGAGGTTGACCTCAACTACAGCTATGGAAGGGGCAGTAAACCCTATCCAAAAGCAACTACAGATACAAGGCTAATCTAGCTGAGGGAAAGAAACACTGAAAAGCCCCACTCCGAAGTCCAAGGGCCTAAGTAAGACTAATGCTGGATCAAGACAACAGAGAAAACCCCAGCCCCTACTACAAGCCTAGCAGTAACAGGCTACTGACAGAAGTAGGGCAAGAACCTGGAGAGAGACCCCTACCCGTAGCAAAAAGGACTAAAAATTTAGAGAAAACAAGAAAATTGAGAAAACCCTACCCCTCCCCCTAAGCACCCAAGTCCCCAACTTAAAGCACAAAGCAACAGGAGACTATTGCTGGAGGAAGGTAAAGTCTGTGGTATACAAGAGGTAGGTATCAGCAATAAAACCCAAATCTAGCTCAACTACTGACAGACTGATTCAATTCTCTACACATATGGCCTGGGAACAAAGATGCTTGTCCATTTACAGGTATAAATACTATTTACTTCAATCTCTACCAATCTTCTATACATGTATCTGACAGTCAAAAATTGCAAGATACATAAAAAAGCAAAGAAACAAAATAGTGTCAAGAAATAAAGTCATCAATAAAACCCAAATGAGAGATGACTCAGGTGTGAGAATTATCAGACAAGAACTTTATGACTAATACGTTCAAGGACCAAATAGAGAAAAGTGGACAACTTGCATAAAGAAATGGTATATTTTAAGAGAGTGAAGAGTCAAATACAGATGAGGAAAAAAAAACCATGATCAAAGATAAAAAAAATTCCCTAAATGGGGTCACTAGCAGACTGGACACAGCTAGAGAAAGGCTCCAAATATCTTGAAGACAGATCAGTAGAAATTGTCCAACTGACACACACAAGTGTGCAGACATGTGCACAAATACTTAAAAAAAAAAAATCCAAGAATTGAGGAACAATACATGTAATTTGAGTTTCAGAAGAAAAAAAGAAAAAGTATGGGGCAGAAGAAAAATGTGAAGAAGTTAAGGATTTTACAAAAACAACTTAAGACATCAAATCACAGATGCAAGAATTCAGAGAACACCAAGCAGAATAAATTAAAAATCCACACACCTATATTTATTATGATCAAAATGCTGAAAATCAAAATGAAGAAACCATCTTGAAAGCAACAAGAAAAAAAAAAGATTGCATAAAGAGGAACAAAGATAAGAATTATCACAACCATCTCAAAAACTGTAAATTACAAGACAACAGAAAGACATCTTTAAAATACTGAAAGGACAAAAGTGTCAATTCTATATGAAATAAAAATCTCTTTTACAAATGAAGGCAAAATAAAGACTTCCAAGAAAGCAAAAGCAAAAAGAATTCATCTCTTCTAGTGCCAGTTGGCTGGCAATGCTGTAAGGACATTCTTCAGGCAGAAGTATAATATCAAGTGGAAACTGTGATCTATAAAAAGTTCCAGAAATTATAAAAATGAAGGTCAATTTTTAAAAAGCACTTTTTCTTATTTATAATGCCTTTAAAAGACAACAAAGGCAAATGCAACAATTTACTATGGGGTTTATAACATGCAAATGTAAAATATGAGACAACAATAGCACAAAGGATGGGATAGAGAAATTAGAAGTGTATGGTTTATAGAGTTCTTCCACTATACATAAAATGGTGTATTTGAAGGTAGACTATGAACAAGTTAAAGATGTGTGTGGTAAACCCTACAGCAATGACTAAAACAAAATATAGGAATGGGTAGAACTAATAAAATAACAGTGGAGATAAAACAGAATCATGAAAATATTCAGACCAAATCTAAAAGAGAAGAAAAAGAAAGGATTAATGAAGACAAGCTAGAGCTCATCAGTTTGTTAAAAATTCAAGATGGGAAAAAAACAAAATCAAAATGGTAAGAAAAAAAACTAATATGGTTGTATTTTCTGAATGGCTTCAAAGGAGGAACACATCTCCACTTAGGTTTTCCACCTCTGCAAAAAGCTCAAATGTTGGAAATCTTCAAGGCTCTGTCCCTTGTCCTTTTTTCATTTCTGTATTTGCTGCCTAGCAATCTAATCTACAGACATCTGTGACACTTCAGTGACCGTGACAGACACTTCATCTTCCTAGATTCCCCAACAGACCTTTCTCCTGAGTTCCTAACATATATTTCAACAATCTAATAGACATCTCCAGAAATACCTTAAACTCAACATGTTTAAAACTAAACTCAGTACTCATCCCCAGTGTGATCTTCTTCCAGTTTTCCTTTCTGTTTAAAGATACTCACATAATTGCTCCAACTAGAAACCTACGCCTCCCTCTTCCTTACCATCTGAAACAAAACTGTCACATCTTCATAAGTTTACCTTTGACCTACTTTATTCCATTTCTTCTGTCACTATTTCAGTCCAAGACACAAGTTACCTCTTCACAAGGCAAAAAGTGACATTAACCCCTGCACTTAACCTTTCAGTGACTTCCCAACTGAAGTCCAAGATCCTAACAATGTCCCTATAGGCTCTTCATAATCTGACCCTACCTTGCTATCTATCTATACATATCCCCTGAAATGTTCTCTCTCACTTCAAGGTTTTTCATTTGTTGCTCCCTCTACAAAGATTACTGTCCCCAACCTTACTCCATATATCCATCCCCTTCACCTGAGTCTACTCGACTTTCAATTCATTCTCGGTGTGAACATCAGTTCTTTAGGGAAATCCTTTTTGACCTGCATAGATTGTTAGGTTAGGTCTCGCTGTAATCAACTTCCTTACCACCCTGGATTTCTCATCACACTTGCAATTACTTGTTTAATGGTCTTCCTCCTCCCTATTGTATTTTACACCAAAATGTAGCAGGCTCCATGAGGACAGGAACCTTGTCTATCAACTCAGTATCCAGAATATAATGCTTTTCATGTAATAATCACAAACCTGTTGGGAAAAAAAAAACAATACCAAAAGCATATTTAGAAAGCAAGAACACCCAGAGAGATACAAGACCCAAGACATATATATATATCCACACATTGGAGAAAAGAGATTACTTCAGACCTCACAGCTTGGGCAGACCCTACCTCTAATAACCCCAAGAAAAGATTGGGAGAGTAGGAGAGGTTGAGATAATTAGAATGATCCAGGTTAACTACCACTAGGAGAAAACTGGTGCAGATTA